ACCTACTATGAACTCATGAACAAGAAGCTCAGACTGGAGCTGATAACATGATGAGCGATAACTGAAAAAGACAAGTTCATTTTTGAAATATTAAAACAGTTCCTTCAACAGTTATTTCCATAGTTTGCTACACTGTGTTCTCTATTTTGCAGTAAAAAAACTACATCATATCTTGTCAGTTGAACTTTAATGATATAGATTGTCGGATGTTCTTAAAGGATGAAGGGATGGTGGGATAGCTTAATGGTTAAATTGTCCTCTTGTCACGCCGAAGATCCGGGTTTGATTCCCCACATGGGTACAATGTGTGAAGTCCATTTCCGGAGTACCTGCTGTGATATTGCTTGAATATTGCTAAAAGCCTCGTAAAAGCATGAGTTGACACCGCTGAGGTGAAAATGGCACTACACACAGGAAAATATATTTATACTGTATTATAACACAAGGGTAAACAAAGCTCGGAGTACGATACTCCTTTGAAGACAATAGATTTTGTCCAAACATTTTCTCTAATTGTAAGTTTGTGGGCACTTGCGAAATATGTTATCACCATCACAGTTGAATATACTATTCAGATAGAACATAAAGTCACGCTACATTCTCCAGTGTAATATTACAGTTTTGGCAGATTGAACATTTCAGTGAGTGAAATAGTGTCTTGTGATGTAATCGCGGATGCTTCGACCATCTTCAGGACCTGTGTATTGCCCTTCGATGGTACTGTCGTCCTCTGCATCAACATCCAGCATGGGTTCACGAAGAATTATCGCAAGATTGTGCAACACGACACAAGCACCTGTCAAATATAATGAGATTCTTCTTAAAGCTGCACTGTTTTAGCTGTCTATAGGCCTGTTAATAGGCTTTAAAACCAAATATTTTATCAGTATTTAATTTCTTAATTCACTTTATTTTACGGTGCAAACTCTCTCTGGGCACATCCTGATTTCTCCGTGGAGAACATGGAAACGCCTCTTGAGCCACCCAAATGCCCGTTCTATAGTTGACCGTGTTCGTTTATGTGAAGAGTTGAAGCGCTCTTGCTCGGGCGTAGATGGCTTTAGATACGGCGTCATCAAATGCGGACGACATGCGTATCCACTGTCACCGAGAATAACACCATCCTGTAGAGTGGTATGATGAGTTTCAAGGTGTTGCCGCACATTGCTCATCTTGAACACGTGGCTGTCATGCGTGCTGCCTGGCCATCTCGCCACTACGTTAGTAAATTTACCGATACAAATACACAAAACGATCAATTTTAGTATAACTATGTGGAATCACTGCACCAAGTGCATATAGCAACCACTGCGAAATAGCTAGAAAATTGCTGAGCTCGGCCTTAAAAAGCAAATGCAGAGAGCTTATCATCATAATGTTGTTTTAAGACACTTACTTCGATCAACATTGTAAATGGTGTCATGTTCGAAACGCATTTTCTTTATTATAATGCCGGAAAGACATGTACATTTATATGAAATGCGCTGGTCTTACGATGGTCTCACTAACGCATCTTGGCTGTCACACACCGTTTGAACATTGATAGAATTGACATAGGCAGGTTCGTTGTCTGATGGTGCCTGTATCCGAACATGTGTCCCGTCGATGCATCCAATGACTCCAGGAAATCTAGATAGACTGTAGAATTTCTTTCTTATGTCTCCCGAAGCACTCTCGGACGGCCAGGTAACAAATCTTGGCATGAGAGACGCCATGGCAAGTGAAACCTTCCTAACAACTCGTGAAGCTGTTGATTTGTCTATCCCTATTGTGTCGCCAGTGATTTGAGGGAAACTTCCACTTGCAAAGAAGCGTAGGGTCACCAGAACCTGATAAAATGGTTAAACAGAGGCTTATGACACGCTTCACCAAAAATTAGATATTTCTAGAAAACTGATACCAACGTTATTATCTATTTCGCTGCGTTTCAGTACGTAAAGTGGTAATTATGGCTACGTGTATGATTCAATAATAATAACAACGTCTCAAGGTTGGGGTCTTTAGAGTGACTCCCCTTTATGACATTCATCGTGGCTGACTGAAAGCATATCCTTTCTGGTATGAAGTGAAACTGGTCCATGCGTTTACAAGAGTTCCAGTCGTGAATTATATTCACAAGGTTAGTTTTATTATATACTGGGTAATATGTTAACAGATGTGTCTGTACCAGCACGCATGGTAGTGTGCAATTATACGCAAAACTGGGTTGTCCATGGAGGCTGGGATATGACGCTATGAACAGTATGATGTTTTTGAACCAGATAAACGTTTCTGAGATATTAATAACGATGTAATAATTATGAAACATTCACCTGTAGTTCAACACTCAGTGCGTGAGATCTTGCAGATTGTGGCTGTAATTCATCTCTAACGAGATCGCAGATATATCGGATGCTCGGCTTCCTGAAATCAGTGCAGGTCATCAGGCCCCCGCAGAATGATCTCAACAGTAATGTCACGTGATGATACATAGTGTGCTATTTAGGAGATATACGTACTGTGTTTGGAAATTAGATGAATGCTACATTCATCTTATTTCCAAACACAGTATGTTTATCGCCATTCTACCATAACCGATTTATTATCGAACTTCCTCGTCCTGCGGAAGACACTGCGTAATCCGACATGGGACGAGAGGCGAATTGAACTCGTCTGTGAAGGGAGTGGTAGGTTCCGTTCGTATTTTTTAACATTGCACATACAAAATATTCTGTCCAAAGAAAACAAACTACTGTTTATTCAATGCAATAAAGTAACACCTAAGAGCTTGGTTTTTATAATCATAACTCCACACGACCGAAACGCGCCTATTGTTTTGTGTGCCGTGTTACTGTACCCCCTGGCCACACTATAATGGAATCGTCTGACCTACTTATTTTCTTAGAAGTAGACAGTTACGCAACAATTTGAAATGGCAGACGAGCCAGTGTTTACATTTTGCGAAAGGTTGAAATTCGAAGTGACAGTGGAAAATACTTGACTGACTGTCGAACCTGAACCCTGCAGAATCGAAGAATAGATCCTTTTCTGATCGACCTATGACCTGTAACTCATCAATGACTGTTGATTTTTATGACCGGCGAGTGTCGATCATGATTTCACGTACGTGCCTCCACCCCGGCATGCGACGAAAGAGTGACAGTCTGCTTTGTGTACATGCGACTAACTTGGGATTCCTTGGAACATTGTTCTCATTTGGGACTGGATTGGGGCCAAGCTTTTCAAAGTGTACGAACATAGCAGTGACAGCCTTGCGGGGAAGGTGGCAGAGCACTGAATTCTCATGGTTCAATTTTTGACATTTTGAACGATGCAACGGGACAAGATGGAGTATGAGTGGCAAATTTTGTGTTTCACCTGACCGTTATCTTGCGAATTTACCATTCTATACGGAAACAAATATACCATTTACCAGGTAGGTAAATGTTTACGAACGTTTTGCGGCACAAATAGGGATAGATAGGGATGTATTTTCACAAGGTTTTCTGATTTATATGTTAGATATTGTTTGTTTATGTTTTGGGCTGTGTATTGTAATTGAGTTTGAATATTTTTATAATAGACGGTAATAATTATGATAGTGAGATTCCCTAATAATTGTGGAGGAGACATCGTATAATTGTATTTTTCGAGTTTTAATAAATGTTTCATCTGCATTTCCATCACGTCTGTTGTGTTGATATTAGTCATGTTTGGTGGCCAAGCTGAAGTAGTGCGGCAGTGTTGTATACGTGCGCAGTGAAGCGCCGTGAAATCAGACGCATTTTCAATCCAAATTGATACCGTCTGATTTTATGGATTGACCAATCAAATTCGAACATTTCACGTAGCCATGGTAAAATGTGTTAATTTATCACATCTCTTTGCTAAAAAATACTTTCACTTTGTTCTCATGGAACTACTCTCAAAGCATACATATACCTGTAAATATCTATAGCAAGTAATATTAGTGCAGAATCTATACTTTGGCTGGTTATCGCTACAGATCATAGAGATCATAACAGTTGACTAAATATAGACCGATTATCGACAAATATCAGAAACTTTGAGCAAAACTGTCTGAAGGAAATGAGTATATTTCACATCACTGGTGAGTTGTGACATGTTTATGCAAGGATTATTAACAAAATAGTGTCCTGAACATAATTTAGAAGCAAACTATGAATACCGTCCTAAATTTGTATATTATGTGAGAAAATTGCAAGTTTTTTTCTGTCACAAAAGATAATGTACGATGTTATCGATTACACAATTTTCATATTGATAATCAATATTTTTTTGATATCTCTGATTATCGATTATTTTAGCCAGCCCTAAATTATTCTATACACACACATGCAAGTACGTCTATATGACGCATGTACTCCGTAAGTATATTCACTCATATTTGCATAGTCTGCATGTAAATGTAAGGGGGCGGTTGGGTAGTCTAGTGGTTAAAGCGTTCGCTCGTCACACCGAAGATTCCGGTTCGATTCTCCACAAGGGTACAATGTGTGAAGTCCATTTCTGGTGTCCCTTGCTGTGATATTGCTGGAATATTGCTAAAAGCGGCGTAACACCATACTCACTCACTAATGTAAATGTAAGTGTTTCGTATGTAAGTTGACCCATGAAGGTCCGGGTTAGAATATTGGCCTTCAGTAACCCAAGCTTGTAGTAAGAGGCGACTAACGGGATTGGGTGGTCAGGCTCGCTGACTTGGGTGACACATGTCATCGGTTCCCAATTGCGCAGATCGATGCTCATGCTGTTGATCACTGTATTGTCTGGTCCAGACTCGATTATTTACAGACCGCCGCCATATAGCTGGAATATTGCTCTGTGTGCTGCCTTAAACTCACTCACTCACTCATTCACTCACTCACTCTTATGTAAGTTATTTCATCTTTGTGTTCACTCACTCACTCACTCACTCACTCTTATGTAAGCTATTTCATCCTTGTGTTTAGCCGGTTCACTTCTGGATATACGCAGAGGGACAAAAAGGACAGTTTATCTTATATATCTATATTTATTTCCATCACATCGACATTATTCTCCATTGTTCGTCTACTGGCCAATAGGGATGCCGCCTGTACCAACCAGGAGCTGCAATAAGAAAACATATGTGTGATGTAAACATTATATGCATATCATTCTTTCATGCTTAGTTACCTGTGAGGATCCGGGTTAGAACCGATCTTCAGTAACCCATGCTTGTGGTAAGAGGCGACTAACGGGATCGGGTGGTCAGACTCGCTGACTTGCTTGACACATGACATCGTATCCCAATTGCGTAGATCGATGCTCATGATGTTTAACCCGGATCTCCACGAGGGGAGACAACCATGGGGTACTGAAGACCAATTTGAACCTGGATCTTCATGAGGGTAGACAACCATGGGGTACTGAAGACCAATTTGAACCCGGATCTTCATGAGGGGAGACAACCATGGGGTACTGAAGACCAATTTGAACCCGGATCTTCCTGACGGTAGACAACCATAGGGTACTGAAGACCAATTTGAACCCGGATCTTCATGAGGGGAGACAACCATGGGGTACTGAAGACCAATTTGAACCTGGATCTTCATGAGGGGAGACAACCATGGGGTACTGAAGACCAATTTGAACCCGGATCTTCATGAGGGGAGACAACCATTGGGTACTGAAGACCAATTTGAACCCGGATCTTCATGAGGGGAGACAACCATGGGGTACTGAAGACCAATTTGAACCTGGATCTTCATGAGGGGAGACAACCATGGGGTACTGAAGACCAATTTGAACCCGGATCTTCTTGGGGAGACAACAATGGGGTACTGAAGACCAATTTGAACCCGGATCTTCATGAGGGAGACAACCATGGGGTACTGAAGACCAATTTGAACCCGGATCTTCATGAGGGTAGACAACCATGGGGTACTGAAGACCAATTTGAACCTGGATCTTCATGAGGAGAGACAACCATGGGGTACTGAAGACCAATTTGAACCCGGATCTTCATGAGGGGAGACAACCATGGGGTACTGAAGACCAATTTGAACCCGGATCTTCTTGAGGGGAGACAACCATGGGGTACTGAAGACCAATTTGAACCCGGATCTTCTTGAGGGGAGACAACCATGGGGTACTGAAGACCAATTTGAACCCGGATCTTCATGAGGGGAGACAACCATGGGGTACTGAAGACCAATTTGAACCCGGATCTTCATGAGGGGAGACAACCATGGGGTACTGAAGACCAATTTGAACCTGGATCTTCATGAGGGAGACAACCATGGGTACTGAAGACCAATTTGAACTCCGGATCTTCTTGAGGGGAGACAACAATAAAAGGGTACTGAAGACCAATTTGAACCCGGATCTTCATGAGGGAGACAAACCATTGGGTACTGAAGACCAATTTGAACCTGGATCTTCATGAGGGGAGACAACCATGGGGTACTGAAGACCAATTTGAACCCGGATCTTCTTGAGGGGAGACAACCATGGGGTACTGAAGACCAATTTGAACCCGGATCTTCATGAGGGGAGACAACCATGGGGTACTGAAGACCAATTTGAACCTGGATCTTCATGAGGGGAGACAACCATGGGGTACTGAAGACCAATTTGAACCTGGATCTTCATGAGGGGAGACAACCATGGGGTACTGAAGACCAATTTGAACCCGGATCTTCTTGAGGGGAGACAACAATGGGGTACTGAAGACCAATTTGAACCCGGATCTTCATGAGGGGAGACAACCATGGGGTACTGAAGACCAATTTGAACCCGGATCTTCATGAGGGTAGACAACCATGGGGTACTGAAGACCAATTTGAACCTGGATCTTCATGAGGAGAGACAACCATGGGTACTGAAGACCAATTTGAACCGGATCTTCATGAGGGGAGACAACCATGGGTACTGAAGACCAATTTGAACCCGGATCTTCTTGAGGGAGACAACCATGGGGTACTGAAGACCAATTTGAACCCGGATCTTCTTGAGGGGAGACAACCATGGGGTACTGAAGACCAATTTGAACCCGGATCTTCATGAGGGGAGACAACCATGGGGTACTGAAGACCAATTTGAACCCGGATCTTCATGAGGGGAGACAACCATGGGTACTGAAGACCAATTTGAACCTGGATCTTCATGAGGGGAGACAACCATGGGGTACTGAAGACCAATTTGAACCCGGATCTCTTGAGGGAGACAACAATGGGGTACTGAAGACCAATTTGAACCCGGATCTTCATGAGGGAGACAACCATTGGGTACTGAAGACCAATTTGAACCTGGATCTTCATGAGGGGAGACAACCATGGGTACCGAAGACCAATTCTGAACCCGGATCTTCTTGAGGGGAGACAACCATGGGGTACTGAAGACCAATTTGAACCCGGATCTTCATGAGGGGAGACAATCATGGGGTACTGAAGACCAATTTGAACCTGGATCTTCATGAGGGGAGACAACCATGGGGTACTGAAGACCAATTTGAACCCGGATCTTCATGAGGGGAGACAACCATGGGGTACTGAAGACCAATTTGAACCCGGATCTTCATGAGGGAGACAACCATGGGGTACTGAAGACCAATTTGAACCCGGATCTTCATGAGGGGAGACAACCATGGGGTACTGAAGACCAATTTGAACCCGGATCTTCATGAGGGGAGACAACCATGGGGTACTGAAGACCAATTTGAACCCGGATCTTCATGAGGGGAGACAACCATGGGGTACTGAAGACCAATTTGAACCTGGATCTTCATGAGGGGAGACAACCATGGGGTACTGAAGACCAATTTGAACCCGGATCTTCTTGAGGGGAGACAACCATGGGGTACTGAAGACCAATTTGAACCCGGATCTTCATGAGGGAGACAACCATGGGGTACTGAAGACCAATTTGAACCCGGATGTTCATGAGGGAGACAACCATGGGGTACTGAAGACCAATTTGAACCCGGATCTTCATGAGGGGAGACAACCATGGGGTACTGAAGACCAATTTGAACCCGGATCTTCATGAGGGGAGACAACCATGGGGTACTGAAGACCAATTTGAACCCGGATCTTCATGAGGGGAGACAATCATGGGGTACTGAAGACCAATTTGAACCCGGATCTTCATGAGGGGAGACAACCATGGGGTACTGAAGACCAATTTGAACCCGGATCTTCTTGAGGGAGACAACCACAGGGTACTGAAGACCAATTTGAACCCGGATCTTCATGAGGGGGGAGACAACCATGGGGTACTGAAGACCAATTTGAACCCGGATCTTCATGAGGGGAGACAACCATGGGGTACTGAAGACCAATTTGAACCCGGATCTTCATGAGGGAGACAACCATGGGGGTACTGAAGACCAATTTGAACCCGGATCTTCATGAGGGGGAGACAACCATGGGGTACTGAAGACCAATTTGAACCCGGATCTTCATGAGGGAGACAACCATGGGGTACTGAAGACCAATTTGAACCTGGATCTTCATGAGGGAGACAACCATGGGGTACTGAAGACCAATTTGAACCCAACTCGGATCTTCTTGAGGGAGACAACCATGGGGTACTGAAGACCAATTTGAACCTGGATCTTCTTGAGGGAGACAACCATGGGGTACTGAAGACCAATTTGAACCTGGATCTTCATGAGGGGAGACAACCATGGGGTACTGAAGACCAATTTGAACCCGGATCTTCATGAGGGGAGACAACCATGGGGTACTGAAGACCAATTTGAACCCGGATCTTCATGAGGGGAGACAACCATGGGGTACTGAAGACCAATTTGAACCTGGATCTTCATGAGGAGAGACAACCATGGGGTACTGAAGACCAATTTGAACCCGGATCTTCAGGGGTCTCAAGTGACAGGGGTACAAGTCAGCTCAGCGTTCTTACCCTGGAGTACTTCGCTGCGAATTCGGACAGTGTTACTTTACCATCACCTGAAATTGAATCCAAACACATTGTAATCCAACATCCTAGATTGTCAAGGGCATTATATATCCATCCAATTACGAGCATCCTGGATCCATTCGCTACCAAAAACATCGCAACTGCGTTAATTTGCATATCCCATCAAATATGCAAACTCGTGTTCGGGACTGAGAGATCTCGAGACACAAAACCTTTATATAATAAATAACTAACTACTAGTGAAATAGGCACTAGTGACAAGAATCGTAACGTTAATCTCGCCTTGTGGTTACCGTGTATCAAGCCTTCATGACGAGTTCATGACGACAAAAAGAAACAGCGAGTCAGTTTAACGTGGGAGAAATATATCTATCTATCTATCTATCTATCTATCTGTCTATCCATTAAATAGCACGGCTTTACTCACTGTCTGTGTCAGTCTATCTATCCATTAAATAACACGGCTTTTTACTCAGTCTGTGTCAGTCTATCTATCTATCTATCTATCTATCTATCTATCTATCTATCTATCTATCTATCTATCTATCTATCTATCTATTAAATAACATGGCTTCTAGTATACTCACCATCTGTGTCAAACTTGCCCACAATTATTTTGACATCCTTCAAGGTGAGTGCCCCGTCTTTATCAACATCATACAGAGCAAACTGCTTATCAGCGTGGGCGTGGTTGGTGTCTAGTTTATAGTAGTCCTGCTTGGTGATTGACCCATCGCCTTCAACAGGAATAGGTGAGTGAGAATATTGTTTTAGCAGAATTTGATGCATTAACGCAAGAGTCACGAAGACAACACGCTATGTACATGAACGATTGGGGTTTTATCTTGGTTTCAGGTATTATTGTTCCCTGGTTAATATTCCCAGTAATATTCCATCTCAGTGGCGGAGTTCATGAGCAGACAATCCAGTGATTGATATTATGAACAAGAATCCAAGTCTAGGATGCTTGGGACAAAGAAGGGGGACCCTTTAATGGTAGGACGTGCTTACTTGTTTGTTTCTTTGACCCGTGAAGATCCGGGTTTGGATTGGCATCCAGTAACCCATGCTTTTCGGAAGAGGCGACTAACGGGATCGGGCGGTCAGCCTCGCTGACTTGGTTGACACATGTCATTGTGTCCCAATTGCGTAGAACGATGCGATTGCTGTTGATCACTGTATTGTCTGGTCCAGATTCGACTATTTACAGACCGCTGTCATATACCTAGAATATTGCTGAGTGCGGCTTTAAACAACAACCAAACCAAACTTGTATCTTTGTTTAATCTCTCAGCAATATCTTAGCTATATACGGCAATGACAGATGAAATTGGGACAGAAAGACACATGCACACCTAGACACACAGACACGCGACCACTTTCACACAGACACACGGACATCTACAGACAGAGACACGCATACCTGGACACACAGACACAGGTACACCTGGACACACGCACACCCGAACACACATAAACACACAGACACACGCACACCTAAACACACAGACACACGCACACCTTGACACATAGACACACGCACACCTTGACACACAGACACACGCACACCTTGACACACATGCACACGCAAACCCAAATCCACGCAGACCTTGACACACAGACACGCCACCACTATCACACAGACACATGCATACCTGGACACACAGACACAGGTACACCTGGACACATGCACACCTTGACACACAAACACTCCCACACCCAAATACACAGACACTCGCAATTCTTCAAACACATACACACGCACACCTAAACACACACACACACACATTCACACAGACACTCGCACAGCCAAGCACACAGACACACGCACACACAGACACTCGCACACCTTCACACACAGTGACTTGTACACCCAGACACACGCACACCTAAACACAGAGACTCGCACACCTAAAGGCACTGACACACCCACACCTTGACACACAGGCACATGCACACCCAAACACAGACACTCACACACAGACACTCGCACACACAAACACACAGACAAATGCACACCTCCACACACGTACACCTTCACACACATACACATGCACACCTTCACACACATACACACGCACACCCATACACACAGATACACGCACACCCGTCACACAGATACATGCACACCTTCATACACAGACACACGCACACCTTCACACACATACACTTGCACACCTTAACACACAGACACACGCACACCTTGACACATATACACACGCACACCCGAACACACAGACACACCAAGACAGAGAGACTGTTTGAAAAACGTATCACACATGTGTGACTATCACAGTTAGATGTTGTGAATGTGTGTGTACCCACAATCAATGTCGAACTGATTGTAGTAAGCATTAAAGTTGGACAGTGTCAAAAAGTTATTTTTGCCAGCATCGATTTGGTGAAAGACGGTTGTAGCAATGTCGAGATGGGAGAAGGCAACGCTTCAAGAGGAGGAATGGGTGAGTGAAGTGAGTTTACCTTTACGCCGCACTCAGCAATATTCCAGCTATATGGCGGCGGTCTGTAAATAATCGAGTCTGGACCAGACCATCCAGTCATCAACAGCATGAGCATCGATCTACGCAATTATGATACGATGACATGTGTCAACCAAGTCAGCGAGCCTGACCACCCGATCCCGTTAGTTTGCCTCTTACGACAAGCATAGGTTATTGAAGACCAGTTCTAGCAAGATAAGGAGATATTTCAGATGATTCCAGTTAACTTCGTAGTCCTGATTAATATAAATCGGAATGGTAATAATGTGAAAGTTTGGCAAAATGCCAACAGCAATGCTTATTAGTAAGAAATATCTTGTACAATATCTGTGCTGGAATATTGCTACAGCGATGAACATTACATGACAAATAGATAAATCAATCAACAACGAATCCGCCATTAACAGACATAGTATAACAACGAAGAGAAACACTTTTTAGGGATAGACAACTTCTTCAGTGGAGCGACGTTTCGGTGTAGATCCTAACACAAGGATATTGCACAAGGAGAAATATATACATGACGGCTATTTGAGTTTATACAATTGAAGCGGTTGATGTACAGTGTGCTGGCAAATGAGGCTTGCTGTGATAAGAAATGATTGAAGTAAATGCCACGCATCGAACTTCGAGCCAAGTGCGTTACTTCATGTTTTTTATGCTTACTTTTCTAACTTTTCAAATAACTTTATTTTATGCATTTTTTATGCACAGTTACTTTTTTTCGTTAGTATATTTCATTTCTGTACAAACTACATTTCTTTATTCGTATTAATTTGAACATTTTGGTTATCATACAGGACAAAAACAAGAACGTTTAAAGGGCACCGATAAATGTTCTGAAAACAAACACGAAAACATTTAAACAATAGTTGAATATACGCATTTTGCAATTTATGTATATTCTTATGTAAAATTACAAGCATAGTGCTAATTATTACTAAGTTGAGAACTGAACTTTGCCATACCCCAACATAACAGCAACTGCACAGAACGACAGCGGACCCATTGTTGATTATCTGGAATTCAGAACCAATATATGCATAAACATATGGTGAGACCTCGTCAATCCAGACGGTACTGGAAGTGGAATTGTCCGGATTAACAAAGGTGCTGATTAACCCATCCTTAGTACTGGGGGCGGTGGGGTAGCCTAATGGTTAAAGCGTTGGCTCGTCACGCCGAAGACCCGGGTTCGAATCCCCACATGGGCACAATGTGTGAAGCCCATTTCTGGTGTCTCCTGCCGTGATGTTGCTGGAATATTGCTAAAAGCGGCGTAAAACCAAAACTCAGTCAGTCAGTCAGTCAGTCCTTAGTACTGTGCTATTTATCTGTTTGTTCATCAGCGTTTTTACTAGTAATCGCTCGGAAACGTGGGTGAGTGAGTATGGTTTTAAGCCGCTTTTAGCAATAGTCCAGCAATATCACGGCGGGGACACCATACACACACTGTACCCATGTGGTGAATCGAACCCGGACCTTCGGTGTGACGAGCAAACGCTTTAACCACTAGGCTACCCCATCGCCCCCGCCCGGAAAAGAGGGTTTACAATTTGACGGAGTCTGGACTAGAAGGGTTTTCTGTATTTGTTGCGCACAATCGACATGAACGAATTTCTCTCGATAAAAAGCTCTGTCCCTTCTGGAAGTTCATATTCCAGCAACTCCCTCTAACCTATGAAAATAAGAAATGTGATGAGTGAATATTGTTTAACGACGCATCAGCAATTTTGCAGCTTTTCGCTGCTATTATGAAAACACAAACATTTGTCGTTTTGGTTATTTTAACAAACGCCTTAACCCCCAGTCCGTGTAGTATTTAAGTAAATACGAGTCAATTTGATTTGGTTGGTTGGTCTGTTGCTTAAAGCCGTCCTCAGCAATATTCCAGCTACATGGCGGCGCTCTGTAAATAATCGAGTCTTGACCAGACAATCCAGTGATCAACAGCATGTGCATCGATCTATGCAATTGGGATACGATGACACGTGTCAACCAAGTCAGCGAGACTGATCACCCGATCCCGTTCGTCGCCTTTTCCGAGAAGCATGGGTTACTGAAGATCAATTCTAACCCGGATCTTCACGGGAAGAGTCAATTTGAATTGGGCATACGAGGACAATTGTCATAGACGCAACTATTATGCGAATATAATATACCTAGTGAGAGGACAGATACGCCAGCAATACATTCACATGAAGATATCAATAAGTCAGTTTACTTGCTGTGCAAATAGTCACATAAATAAGGCGAATGTTTGTCAACGTGAGCAAAAAGATGTCGTTTTGAGTCTGAAATCATTTCGCAGGGAAGACATACGAATATTATGACCACAAGGCTACCCCATGGCCCCATTAATACTCGAGGTAATATGAACATGCATGATAAGACATAATAATAATAATAAAAGACGATCTTTCCCCATGTGTGTATAAGATGCATAGTCCATATGGATCCCACATACCACGTGGCTCCCTGCAATACCATGGAGACCTACCTGTTTCCCAAGTCAGATTAAATACGACGATAACCTAGTCTCATTGTCTTTTATACTGGTTTACCAGAGTAGATAAGCAAAAAAACAGAACATGGTTTAATTAAATCTGCGGTTCTTTACAAAACGGTAAGCATTCGAATAAGGCGGCGGTCTGTAAATAATTGTGCCTGGTCTAGATAATCCAGTGATTGACATCATGAGCATCGATCTACGCAATGGACATATGAGGACAATTGTCAATCAAGTCAGCGAGTCTGACCACCCGATCCCGTTAGTGAGTGAGTGAGTATGGTTAGTCCAGCAATATTCCAGCAATATCACGGCGGGAGACATCAGAAATGGTCTTCACACATTGTACCAAGCGCATACAAAGTGGGTACCCAGTTCATCCAGACGATATGTTACTGTTCAAATAGTTCGGAACGAAAAATCTTTCGAATTAGAGATTTTTCCCATTTTGCTTGTATGAAAATAGTACGTACGTGTAACAACATGAGATTTAATATCGGACAAAAAATGGGTGTTTTTATTCTCATAGTAGAACTGCGCTCTTCCCGCTGTCTGTCGGCTCACCCTTTGCTTGCCTATCTTTTTCTGCTTTTTCTAAATGCTGATGGACGACTAACAGCCTGCTTAGATCTCATTGATATAATCTTCTTAGCTGGTTACAATCTGACATATATCTTACAAGTGTACAGGATAAATAATGTTTCACAAAGGTAATGCCCAAGAAAAAA